AGACCAGCCTGGGTTACATAGTGATTTCCAGGTCAGTCTCAACTACATAGTGAGACCCTGTCTCAAAAAACCAAAAAAAAAAAAAAAAAAAAAAGTGTCAATTCAAAAGGATCTTAAATTAATGAATGCAAGCTTGTTGACATACAGCAAGGCTGAGAAATGTTGACAGTAGAAAGCTTAGTGATCAAGGGTTCTGTCGCAATGGAAGTCAGATCCAGTTCTTCACATACAAACAGGCTGCTTATAAGGTGGCATATCTTACAGGAGTACTGTATAGAACTGGGAGAAGGGTGCCGAGAAAATGGGAAAACTGATTCTTGTCTCATTAAGGTTAGAGGCTAGGGATGCACACGATCAAGGTTAGTGCTTACTTTAAAATCTGACGTAGCTGGGGATTTAGCTCAGTGGTTCCACTACCTGCCTAGCAAGTCCCTGGTACAAAAAAAAATAAAATAAAATCTGATCTAATAGGGCTAGTTGCTAGGAGTGCCAGGCCCTGGGTTCAATCACAGAACCAAGAAAAGAAAAATACAAAATTTGAACAAACAACGCATTTATGACTTGTTTCTCCAACTTTCAATTTCCTATATTCCTTTTAATTTTTTGGTCCTACATCGAGATCTTTCCTGGACAATATCTCAGGTATATTATAAAAGATTTGGTGGTATATTTTTACAGTGTTACATCTTTAGGACGCACATAATATGTAAACACACACACTCTCAAAAGAGCTTTACAGAAATGGTTTCTTAAAATAACAGCCCTTGGGGCGGAGATTTAGCTCAGCAGTACTGCACTTGCCTTGTAAGTTCAAGGTTCTGAGTTGGATCCCCAGTACCACTCCCCAAAGAAAACCCGAAAACTAAACCAGCCCAATTCTCTTCTTGGGGGGAGTCAGGGGTTGAGACAGGGGTTTGTTTATGCACCTAGGATGGCCTTAAACTCATTATGCAACTCAAGCTGGCCTTGAACTCCCGGCAATCCTCCTGCCTCAGCCTCCTCAGGGTTTTAGGTGTGCATCACCATGCCAGCTAATCGTCCTATTCATAATGTCAAAAATGTGCGGGTTATGGAAACACTAAGTCCCTCTCCTCACCCAGACAGCTGTCATCTCTGGTTCCAGGAAAAGGGCACAGTAGCAGCCCCAATTCAGACCCAAAAGTCAAGAGTTCACTTAGGTTTGTGATGCAAGCACAGGGCCACAGGAGAACCACGTGGTAGTCTTATTAGCAGTATGATGCTGGAAAATTCAAAATTTTTACTGTAAGAGAAAAGGAGAAATCTATTCCCACAGATTCATTAACAAAATCTATTATGACTAAGTTCAGATGAAAAGCTGCTGGAAAGAACAAGATATATGAGCAGGGCAGGAGCATTTACATTATTCTGACTCCATTTATTTATACCTGTGGCCACTGCAGTAACAAACTTGGATCCGAAATGGCCATCGGGGGAGAGCCGACAGATGTTGGGGTGCTTGTTTTGGAAGTCTCCTGCAGTGATGCACTCTTCAGAACTCAGGAAATAGGTGTCCTATGACAAGAAAGGTGGACCATCAGAAATTTTTTTTTTTTTTTTTTTTTT